CTGGCAGCATCCTCGGGCTGAAATCGAAGATTGCAGCAGAACGTGAAACTCTGGCACTGAGAGATGGCCCCATCAAGCACGAATCGGGCCGCTACCTTGAGCAGCTCGTAACGTTGTTGGAAGACCCGAGAAAGCAGCTTTCTGGTAACCACGAATCCAGATCTTGGTCCAGTCTCCTGCTTTACCTCCATCTCTCTGCGGGGAGTCCCCACGAGCACCACGGAAGTCACGATCAGGAGCAACACCAAAGGAAACACGACCACGCCCAGGAGATGCTTAGCGCCGTTTCTTGCCGTCATAGGTGCTGCTGAACCGCTTCCAAGGCTCACTCCCACAGGCTTCCCACGATGCTCCACTCGAAGCAATCGACCCAGGAGCTGAACTGATGGCCTTCATCAGTGTGCTTTCCATGGTGATTACCTTGACGTCCAGCTAGGCGGCGGTGATGAACTGCGATGGCGGCGAGAGGACCTCGAACGCCATCGGGTTGCCCTCATCGATGGGGGGCGCGTTGGCAGTGTTCCAGGCGAGCGTCCTGGCCTCCTGCACTTGGACCTTCATCTTCTCCTGCTCCAGGCGCAACTCAGCCAACTCAGCCCGAATTTCTCGTCCAGCTCCCGAATGCGGCCGACGGTGGTCTTCAGGACATCCCTCAACGGCGGGACCTGCATCGAGACGACACCGCTGATGGCCTGGAGGTCGTCAGGCGAGGGCGGCATGGCGGCGCGCGAAACTGTGTGTGTCCGCTTGGGTTTGACCCCAAGACCGCCCCTTAAAGATAGGCTGCCCACCCAAGCGCCCCAGCACTTGAGCCAAAATGGCAACGGAGGAGGAGGAGGAGAAGGAGGAGGAGGAGGAGGAGGAGGAGGAGGAGGGTGCCGCCAGCAGAAGGCCGAGGCAAAGCAGCAGATCGACGGCCGATGTCCGGCACTTCCATCGTGTGAGCACTGCCGATTCCGTTGGACGTAGGCGGTAAAAACCGAGAGCCACAAGTGTGCGACGTGCGTTGCTGGGACCTCACTTTGTTCGATAAATCACACAGCGCATTGGTGTCCACTGGTGTCCACTGTTTGTGTCCATGGCGTCGCCGTCGTAGCGGTTGCGCGCGCGCGCGTGCGTTGCTGGCTGGTTGGTTGGTCGGTGGGTGCGTTGGCAGGCTTGGATTTCGGCTGATTGGCTGGCTGGGCGGTTGCTTGATTTGTTGATTGATGGATTGCGGGGCTGACGCTCGTCATCGCCAAGGGAGCCGGGTTGCCTCCAGGATCCTGGGGCGGATTCGCAGCCGAATCACCGCCACTGTGGGCAGAGAACGAGGCGGCAACGACCTTCAAGGACACGCACCTCATCGGCTCCCTCATGGCGCTCTTCAACGGCACCCACCAGGAGCTCATCGACCAGCTCCGTGCCAGTGGGCCCCACGACCACCCCACCAGTCGCCAAGACGGAGGAGCAAGCCCACCAGTCGGCGCTCGCGGTCACGTGCAACCGCCGTGCATGGATGGAGAAAGCAGTTAAGGAAGTCATGGACGCAGAGGATTGGCTCGCACCTAAGATCAAGAATCGCGAAGGCGCAGGCTGCCTGTGCCGAAGTCGAGCAGGTGCACCGCATCAAGCTCGACACAGCCCTGGGTTGCCGCACCAACACCAAGGCCGCCAAGGAGTTCGTCATGGACGATGCAGGCTTAGCGGGAGCGGCTGGCATCGAGCAGCGGCGGCCACCCCAAGGCCAGCCGCGGCCGCCGCAGGACCAGCAGCAGCAACAGCAGCATCGACCACTTTGGAGCGGCTGCTTCTGGCGATAGGTAACGCGTGTGCTGATGCGTCGGCGGGCATCGCTGCTCAGGAGGCGCGGTCCGAACAAGTCCTGGTCGGATAGGCCCCGTTCACCGTTCTGCACGGCTGAAAGTGGGCCGTAACACCACGCAGGGCTCGGAAGGCGCTGGCAGATGAAATGGTGGCGACGGGAAGCCGTCGTCGGCCAAGGTCAAGGGCCCAACGAGGCTCGCTCGGTCCCTGCATGTTTGCCAGCATACCTCCGAGCCTTGCGGCGAATGCGGCGCAGTCACCGATAAGGCTGCGACTTCTGCCGCGTGCGAGTCCCCCTGCGTGCCGACGACGAGCGGGCCGTCGGCCAGCGAGGCCATCACGCCAGTCGTCGGCCCTGTGGAGATTTGCTTCCGAATCCCCGACGGGTCGCACCGCCTCCACGTCATTTAAAAGTTGAGACTGTAACTCTGTCGCCTCTGCGGGAAGACGGCCACCCCCGCCATTGGGTGGCCCCCTGCCAGGAGTTCAGCTGCGAGGGAGCAGAGAAGCCAGCGAAGCTGGCCCGAGATCGGTTTCTGATGGCCACAGGCCCCATTTCATATGTCAGCGCAGCGGGCCTTGCACGCGTGCAGGGCGAGGCTGCTGCGCGCGCCGCCGCCGCCACGGTGCCTCCATGTCAAGAGGAACGCAACTGAGGCTCACTCACGCTATTCGGTCCCGCGCACTGGTGCGCCGATCGATACTCTCGATGCTCCCGCAAATCCCGCAGTCCTCGATTCTCGAACTCGTCATCCCGCTCCTCGTCCTCCTCCTCCTCCTCCTCCTCCTCCTCCTCCTCCTCCTCCTCCTCATCCTCCTCCTCCTCATTCTTCCCCTCCTCCTTTCCTCTCCTCATACAAAACTCCTCCCTGTCGCACCCCGAGGCCGGTCGAAAGGGCGGGCAGGGCGTTTCGCCTGAGACTTCCTCATCACATATGATCCCACAGCTTAGAAGTTGACAATAGTTTCACAGATGGAGGGCAGGTCGATTCCAACAGGTGGATCTCGCCTGACGCGCGGCGCACATTCGCTTTAAAAGTGTGCAAGAATTTCACGCATTGGGAGCGGGTGGTTTTCAAAACTTGGCTCTCGCCTGACGCGCCGCGCACATTCGCTTTGGACATTCGCAAGAGCTTCACGGATCGAGGGCGGGTGGCTCTCAAAATGTGGCTCTCGCCCAAGCGCCGCGCACAATCGTTTGAAACATTTGTAGGTGTTTCACGGCTTCAGGGCGCTTTCTTCTCAAAGTGTGGCTCTCGTTTTAAAAGCTGCAAGAGCTCCACGGATTGAGGGCGGGTGGTTCTCAAAACGTGGCTCTCGCCCAAGCGCCGCGCACAATCGTTTGCAACACTTGTAAGTGGTTCAGGGATTCCCAGTGCCGATGTGCTCGAAGTCGTGTTCTGGAAGGCCTCAGGAATAGGAGGGCGCGTAGTGGGCCTGTGAAGAGGGAGCTTGGCGGGAGGGTTCCTTCCAACATCGCTGATGGGGTCTTGGGCTTGCCCTTGTCCTCCTCCTCCTCCTCCTCCTCCTCCTGCTCCTCCTCCTCCTCCTCCTCATCCTCCTCCTCATTCATTGTCCTTATGAATAGCTCCTCCTGTCGCACCCCGGGGCCAGTCGGAAGGGCGGGCAGGGCGTTTCGCCTAAGCCTTCCTTAAAGTTGCGAACATGAATATCAACAACTGACCGTAGCTTCACAGATGAAAGGCAGGTCGCTTCCAAAATGTAGCTCTCGCCTAAGCGCGGCGCACATTCTCTGCAAAAGTGTGCAAGAGTTTCACGCATTGCAAGCGGGTGGTTTGTTTAATGTGCCTCTCGCATTAGCGCCGCGCACATTCGTTCCAAAAAATTGCAAAAGCTTCACGGATTCAGGGCGGGTGGTTTTCAAAATGTGGCTCTCGCCTTAGCGCCGCGCACAGTCGTTGCAAAATGGGCGAGGGCTTCACGGATTCAGGGCGGGGGGGGTTCAAAATGTGGCCCTCGCCTGGGCGCCGCGCACATTCGCTTCGCAAGAGCTTCACGGATTGAGGGCGGATTTGTTCAAAATGTGGCTCTCGCATGAGTGCCGCGCACACTCCTTACAAAAAATGCGCAAGGGTTTCACAGATTGATGGCCGGTGTTGTTTTACGTGGCTCTCGCCTGAGCGCCGCGCACATTCTTTTCAAACATGTGCAAAAGTTTCACGAATTGAAGGCGGCTCCTTTTCTACTTGTGGCCCTCGCCTTAGCGCCGCGCACATTCGTTTCAAAGATTTGCAAAGAGTACATTGAATCTCATGATTAACATACAAGATAAAAGGAGCTGTGGAGTGGCATGCTGTTCTGGACGATTCATGACCGTCGGGACGCAACAGCCAAGTTGACTCGTGGCGTTGAAGCCCTGCGAATGGTGTTTTGGCACGCTTCAGATTTTTCACACGGTCCAAGCGCGCACTTCCCGCAGTGGAAATGACCCCTCGCAGGGGCCTATGAAGAGGGAGCGTAGAGGGAGGGTGTATTCCAACATTGTTGATGAGTCTTGGGTTTACACTGGTCCTCCCTCCTCCTCCTCCTCCTCCTCCTCCTCCTCCTCCTCCTCCGCCTCCCCCTCCGCCTCCTCCCCCTCCTCCTGCTCCTCCTCCTCCTCCTCCTCCTGTTCCTCCTCCTTCTCCTCATCATCGTCTTCGTCATCACCACGACCACCACCACCACTACCACCATCATCATCATCATCATCATCATCATCATCATCATCATCATCATCATCATCATCATCGTCATCATCAACATCATCATCAAATGACCACCCCACAAATCCACACTCCCGCCCCGCCCCGATCCCGCTCACTGAAAGTCAGGGTCCCGCAGCCGGGGACCTTCCGAATAAGCGAAGAACTGCAGCCGCAGGAGCAGTCAGCATCGAATCGGGAAACTGGACAGGAGTCGGAAGCCACGTCGGATCGGGCAGGATCGGCACAGACTCGAGATCGGGTCGGATCGGCCGCGCCAGGATGCGCAGTAGCGCCACGCGAGCCTCGGGCCACGATAGAGCGTCGGGACATCGGAAGCACATCCGATCGGGCCGGCCAGAATCGATGTGGAACCGGATCGGTCGGATCGAAATGGGACCTCCTCCTCCTCCTCCTCCTCCTCCTCCCCAGCGAAAACGGCCAAAAGTGGTGTCGACGCCGGGGGCGCTCGCAGAGTGGCCGCGCGGCGTCTCCGGCAGCTGCACGGACAGCTTAGAGAGGCCATAGGCGACGGCCTCACCAGCCGAGGCGTGGAGCAGGACGGTGGCAAGAAGCGTACGCCGTGCTGGGTCAGCCCAGCAAGCGCTGGCTGGTGGCAGGCCCCAGGTGGCGTGCATGATGCAATCGCGCCGAGCCGTGATGACGGAAGCCTCCCCAGACATCGGGTGTCTCGAGTTTCTTCCTGGCGGTCCCCGGGAGTCCCGACCCTGCCCCAGTTTCTGACGGTCCTGGGGCCAGGCGGGGGCCCCCCGAGGCCGAACATGGCCAAAAACCTCGCAGCGCGATTCATTCACAGCGCGAGCACGTACAGGTCGCCGTCAGTCAATTTATGATCGGTTGGTTGATCGATCTTCACCCTCATCTTCCAGAAGGCGCGGTCCCCCGCCGGGGCCCTGCGCGCCGCGTCTGCAGAGGCCTCCCAGGTGGGGGTCCGAGTACAGTGAGGGAATCAGATACGGAGCCTCTGAACAAGCAACCCAGGGTCTGGAAGCCAGCGGAACCCCAATTGTGGATTGACCATGGATATCACCGCCGCCCTCATTTGATAAGGAATCCTCCAGGGTTTGAGGCCTCCTGGACACATTCCTTGAACCACACCTCCACCGTAGCTGGGGTCGGAGGATCGCAGCGCATCCTCGATTCATCACCGACGCATCGGCGATGCATCGGCGACATCAGCGATGCGTCAGCGATAATGGCGTAGAGAGAATCGGGCTCCACGTCGAGCCGCACCGCCGATGCATCGGCGATGTGGCGCGATCCTCCGACCCCATCTACTCCAACCCCATCTAGGAACCCGAGAATCCGAGGGCCAACAATTCAGGGGTTAGTGAAAACGCCTACGCGGCGCAGGCCCGCAAACACTGCGGCCGCAACACCCCCTCGAAGGCCAGAAAGGGGCAGCTTCCTAATCGACTTGGCAAGGGGGGTCTGTTTCAGCATCCGACAAATTGTCCACACAATGTTTGCACTTCAGGGGTCTCACTTCTGCTCTAAGGAACTGGCCCTGGTTGTCGGTCCAGCGGCTATGTTGCCGCCGTCGACGCCCCGTCGCCGCCTCGTCGCCACCCGTCGTCTGGACCTGGTCGTCCGTCGCCGCGCTTACTGCCGCAGTCGCCTCCCGTCGCCGCAGTGCGTCGCTGCCCGTTGTCTGAGCCTGGTTGTCGGTCGCCGCGCTTGTTGTCGCCGTCGCCGCCCGTCGCCGCCGCCTGTCGCCGCTGCATTGCACTGCTTTCCATTGCGTTGCATTGGTTTGTATTGCTGTTCATTGCTTAGCATTGGTTTGCGTTGCACTGCATTGCGTTGTTGCATTATGTTGCGTTGCATTGCTTCGCTTTGCACCACATAGCTTAAAAACATGGATTGCACCACATAGATTGCACCACATAGTTGCACAACCTAGATTGCAGAACATGGACTGCACAGCTTAGATTGCATAACCTTTCTCCTAACATAGGTTGCACAACATCGACTGCACCATATCTTTACACGTATACCTATGTATATAAATATGTATATCGCACAACATGGGTTGCACCACATTGGTTGTTTCACGCGTGTTGCACCACATAAATCGCACCACATCGATTGCTCAACATGTAGTGCACACCATCTATTGCACGAACCACATTGCACTGCATAAACTGCACCACGTATGCTTCGCCACATATATATATATACAGACCGATACAAATATATGTAATGCACAGCATGAATGTACAACATGCATTGCACAACCTGCATTGCACAAGCTCTACTGCACAACATAGATTGCGCAACATATACTGCACCACATATGTAATATGCTCTTTTATGTTCGACAGAACATGATGAACCACCCTAACTCCACCCCGCACCCTCCCCCGCCCGACGTGATCGCCTCCCCTTGAGATAATACATTGTGCAAATGATTATAACCCATCATGTATGTTTAGGATTGGATTGGATCTCGACGCAGACAAGACGACCTTCTGATGAATAAAACAAGATGTTACGGTGGTGGGACCCAATGGAGAAGCAACTCGAACTAAAGATAACGTCGTGTCTCTGGGTGGGCTTGTAAGCACAGACAACAAGCCAACAGCTGAATTAACGCGGTGTCTCGGAGAGGCGAAAGGGGCTTTTGACAAACTTCGCGTTGTATAGAGGCATGCAAGTATGACCAAGCAGCACAAGCTAGGAGTTCCGCAGACATGTGCATTCACGAAAAGTATTGCATGGAATAAAAAGTGCGTCTTACTGAACAGACTGGACGGGTTCAAAGCCAAATGTCTTCAGTTAGCTTGACAAGTTCAGCCAGCTCTCCTGTCCCGGATCAGCAATGCTCGCGTGCGGTTTGAAGCACGCGTCAAGTATCCGAGCGCTGGGCGTCGCAGGAGACGACCCAGACCACCTGCAAATCTGATCACAATCCTCTCACAGGAGCTGGGACGCAGACTGAATACTACAACAGTTTGATCTTGTTGTGCGTCTCCCCTCTCCCTCTCCCCTCCCCATCCCTCCCTCCTGCCACCCCTCCTGCAACGCAGCGTTGTTGAGCACCCTCGCACGCCATTTGCACAAAGCTTGCCACTGGTCGAGCACCGAGGCGCAGCAGCAGCTGCCAGGCACATGCATACAGCTTTTTCTGCCGATGCGCCGTCCAGGCGCGGCTGTTGAAGTGTCGCGGTTCGACGCAGCTGACGTAGAGAAGAGGTTACTCGGATTTCTCCAGGGCTCCCAACTTCGCGCTGCGCGCTGCGCGAAGCGCGCGAAGCGCGAAGCACCTCGTGCGCTCGCGCCGCCTCCCAGGGGAGAAGAGGAGGATGAGAAGCAGTCCGAGCCGAACCGCGAGGCGCGGAGCGCGAATAGAACTTCGCGCCCTCGAGGGCGCCCTCGTGTCTGCTCGGGCGCACACGCAGCTCGGGCGCTGCCCGGGGTGGCCCTGGGCCCCGGCGCTCAGGCCCCGGGGTGGCCTCCGCTTCTCCGGGCAGGCGCCGGCCTCCTGAGAGCGCTCCTCACGCGGGGCATCGCTCGGACGTCCACTCCCTGTGCTTTGTTCGGTCTCGTGCGTGGTCTTCGCCAAATCATCAAGGATGCTCCTCGATGGTCCTCGCCGAAGGAAAAATGCACACGTCCGAGCGATGCCAAGCACGAGACCCAGAGGGCCCTGGGGGCTCCAGCCTGGCGCGAGAAGCTCGGGGAGCCTTGGGCCAGGAGCACCTCCTCCTCGCGAGCGGCGAACGCATCCGTGGCCACGCCCTCGCGGTCCGGATTCTGGGGCGCGATCCTGCAGATACGCGGTCGCACGGACACGTTCCGCGCGGGGCATCCGCGAAAAACACCCCGCATCCGTGGGGTCGCGGCCCAGGGGCCTGGCCCGCGGGGCCATGGATACGGACATGGTTCTCGCCCACGAACCTCCGGCAACCTGCGAAGACCGACCCTGAGCCCAGAATCGGCCCGGCCAGGACCGATACAGGTGTAGGTCGGCGCCCTCCCTGGAGATCCGACGTCCTGGTCTACCCAACGCGGGGCCCCCGAAGTTCTAACACCCTCCCCGAGGCCAGCTTCCTTTCCCGAGCCGATGTTTGACGGCCCCGGAGCCCAACAAGGTCCCCCAGAGGCCGAAAACGTCCGAAAATCTCCGAGCTGCGCTGGGCTTCCCAATGCGTCGCAGGGCTGGCTTTCGGGCCATAACTCGGGTCTTTGGCGGCCGTTCGGGACGATCCGAGCAACCCTGGACGCTCTCGGCGAGGCACAGCTGCAGGAAAGCACCCCGAGGCTGAAAACTTCCAAGAGCCAACGAAACGCCAGAAAACGACGTCGGCGCCGAGGGTTCGCAAGTGATCGCGAGAACTCCGTGGGCAACGTCACGAGCCGGGTGTTGCTAGAAGTACCCCTGGCCCAAGGTACCCCTAGGATTCTCGGGGTGGCCCAGACGGCCTCCAGGGCACCCCTCACGAGGCCCAGAGGGCCCCAGGGGGCTCCAGAGTGGAGCGGAAAGCTGGGGGTACCTTGGGCCAGGGGGGCACTTCTGGCAACACCCGAGCGAGAGGGGCCAGCTCGAAAGGGGGAAGTATCGACCCGGAATCGGCGGCACGCGGCCGAGAGATCGGCGACAGGCACCCGAGAGCGAAGCCGCACGTTCATGGGCCCCCCTCGGCGATGGATGGGCGATCGGAGGTCGATGCATCCCCCCCCGCTGGAGCCGATTTCCCCTTCACGCTGCCCCTGACGGTAGGTCGGGCCTGTCCCCCTGCAGGGGGATTCTGGACGAAGAACAAAAAATGTTCAAAAGATATGCAACAGATGCCCAAAAATGCTCGAAAAAATAATCCCCTGACTATTCTATACTATTTCTGAATATTGCCCCTGTAGAAGGACGGTCAGGAGGGAAAGAAACCCACAGACACAATCAATCGCCGATACCCCAGAAGATATGGGAAAATATGGGAAGTGGGGGGGAAGACGAAAACCACAAAAAACATTTAAAAATATGGGGAATATTTATCTTTGTGTGTATCTATTTGTGTGTCCTGGGGCCCCTTCAGACAGGCCCGACTTAACCCTGACGTCGACGTCCAGGGTCCGCAGTGAGGTGCGGGCGTCCGGGTCCGGCGGTGGCCGCCGAGGCCGCCGCCGCCACGTCCTTGGGGCTCAGGGCGCCGCCCGGGACGGCGGCCGCCTGCCGGGCCAGCCGCAGCTCCAGAGGAGAAAGAGGACAGACACGAGGGCGACGAGGACGATGCGGATGACGACGGCGAGAAGGATGAGGAGGAGGAGGAGGAGGAGGAGGAGGAGGTGAAGGAGGAGGAGGAGGAGGAGGAGGGGGAGGGGGAGGAGGAGGGCCACGGGGGAGGGGGGGAGGGCCAGCGGGAGGCTGGCGGCAGCGGAGTCTTCACAGAGGGTCTCTTGCAAGCCTCTGGGCAGTTCTACGGAGGCCCGTGCCCTATAGGGGAACAAAAAAGTGACATAAACATAAAAACTCGGAGGTCCGCGCGGATTTCTCAGATCGGCGCTGGGGCCCCCCGGCGGCGCCTCCGGCGCCGCCCTGGCGCGCTCCGCGCGCCAGGGACGGGTCCAGCGCCGATCCGAAAAATCCGCGCGGACCTCCGAGTTTTTATGTATATGTCACTTTTTGTTCCCCTATTCTACAATGACGAGGCTCCCCCGCGTTCTCAGCAGGCCAGCCCCCTGGCGCCACCCCCTTGATCGCGCCGCCAACCCGTGTCGTCGCCGTCGCTGTCGGTCGTCCGTCGTCTCCCCGTTCCGCTCGGGCGCCTCGCCCGCATTCCCGCGTGCCTTCCGAGAAGCCGCCAGCGGCTTCGGAGAAGGCGCGCAAGGTTTCTCAGAAGGCGCGGCGCTCATTTGCCGTCCGCCGCGAGGCTCCCGCCTTCGGCGCTGGCACCGTGAGGCCCTGGGCGCCACTCCGTGGGCGCCCATGAGTTCAGTGCCCCGCGCGCGCGGGAATGCGGGCGAGGCGCCCGAGCGGAACGGGGAGACGACGGACGACCGACAGCGACGGCGACGACACGGGCTGGCGGCGCGGCCAAGGGGGTGGCGCCAGGGGGCTGGCCTGCTGAGCAAACGGGGAGAAGGCACGGGCCTCGGCAGAAAGGCCCAAAGGCTTCTACTACAAGCCTGCAGGTCCCAAAAGCAAAGCTGATCTGTTTGTTTCGACGTTCTCGGGGGAGAAAGATGTATTCCAGCCATTCAAACGGATCCAGGGCATAGGTCGTTTAGAGAGTTCGTTTTGTCCGACCTTTTCTTCCCATGCGAGGAGGGGCCCACCTCTGCATCATAATAGACACCCCCTTCCCCATTCGACCAGCCCCTGGCCGGGACCAATGCCAACACACACACACACACACACACACATACCACCCGTGTTAAATCAAAACATGCAAAATGCACTTTGCGGCGACATCTGGACCATGTTCGGGCGTCCAACGACCACTTGACACAACGATGAAAGGTAGCATATAGCCCCACTCTGTACAGGCCCATCACCCCTTTCAAATACAAATGCAAAGCGCACGTTGCGCAAAATCCTTGGACATGTACGGGCGCACCGCGATCACTTCGCATTGCTCTCTGATAAGAATGATGGGGGTGCCCTGGCACGCGCGGCGCGCCTCAAGGGTTTCGCGTCGATGGCGGCCTCTGCCCATGCTGAGATCCAGGCACCACTCATATGTTGGTGGCGGGCGATAGCAATCGCGAAACAATGCGGGTTGCGGGTAGCCTGATGACTGCTCCGTATGAACACACACACACACACATTCCCCACCCGACCGGCGACAAACCAGGGCCATGGACAATCCCACCCCCGTCAACCCTTGCAAAAACAATACGACGTACATGTTGCACCACAATCTGGTTCGTGTGCGAACGCCCCGCGACCACTTTGCAGCGGCTTCTGACAGGTGCGGCAGCGGTGCCAACATGTCGCCTGCCGCGCGCAATGCCAACACTCCCCACCATCCTCTGCGAACCCACAGCGCACAGTGCACTTGCACCAAAAAAAATCTGGATCACGCGCGGGCGCCCCGCTATAGGATCTTTGAAGAAAAAAATGTTTGTGCCACTGGCCCCCAACTCTGCGCGGGCTCCCCTCTCGCGCTGCCCCTGCTCTCGCTCTGCCCTCTCTCCCTTCTCCCGCGCACGCGGCTCCCAGCCTTCCCTGGGCCATGCGGGGGATCGGCCCCAGGTGGCCCAGAGGCCTCGGCCCCAGCAGGGGCCCCGAAGAGTCGCGCGCGGCCGCGCCGTGGCGCGGCGTGGCAGTGAGGAGCCTCGCGGGCTGGCAGCCAGGCGCCAAGCGGCCCCAGCTCACGCTGGCCGCGAAGCGCCCGAGCGCGGCCGCCCCTGCGGGGCGCTGCGCACGACTGCCGGGTGGCTGCTCGCGGGACTCCCCAAGAGCACCGCCCGGAGCGTGCTGGGCATGCGATGGGCGCGCTCCAACGCGGAGGGGCCCTGCGCGCACTCAGTCTACCACGACCACCAGGCCGCGACGCTGGAGACGCCACAGGTGAAGAACGGCGACGACACGACGACGACGACGACGACGACGACGACGACGACGACGACGACGACGACGACGACGACGACGACGGCGACGGCGACGGCGACGGCGACGGCGACGGCGACGACGACGACGACGACGACGACGACGACGACGACGACGACGACGACGACGACGGCCGCGGGCCCACTCAGGACCCGGGCGATGCCCCGCCAGGCGCGCGCTCCGCGCCGCCGGCCAGGCCGCCAGGCTGGGGGCTCGACCAGGCTAGACGAGGCCCCCAGTCAGTCAGTCAGTCAGTCAAAGCCGTGCGTCAGAAGGCGCATGAGCAATATGGAGCGATGGCCGCGCCATGCAAAATGAACGCGCTGCGCGCCTCCAGTCTCGAACTGGGATTGCGCATAAATCGCCGATTGTAACCCACGCACATTCTTTGCAAGTTTGTACACGTCGACAAGGCCCCCGGGAACCTTGAAAGTATTATTGGATAGGGGGCTGGGGTGTCTGGGTCCCGAGTTGGAGACCAGAGGGCAACCTCACCTTCTGGACATTTGGGGGCGTCGGCGGCGGGGCCTTGAAAGCAACAGGGAGTTTCACGACTGCCTTCCCCACCCAGGACGATCACGGATGGCTCAGCGCCGAGGGGGGGCGGGGCATGCACCTCCTGGACTGGGCGGGCGTCTGCCTACAAGGCGCCGCCGCCGCCGGCGCCGCCGCAGCCCACGATCGTCAAGTGGCGCGGCCCCGCGGCTAGTCCAGGCACGACGACGGAGTACTACCGCGCCAGGATCAAGGGCGGAGGCTCCGAGCGCAAGCACGACGACATCCTGATCCGCCACGAGTGGCCGAGTCGCCCGGCTCTGCCCCAGCTTCCACGGGGTCGACCGAGTCGACCGCCAGGGGCCCTGGGTGGACTTCGACCTCGTCAGAGGGGAGACAGCAGCCGCCGGCCCCGATCGCAGCTGGAGCAGCGCGAGCACCGCCGCGCCCACCTCGACCGCGCAGCACAGGGTGCCCCGCCGAGGGCGGCGGGCCCCACTGCACGAAGCACGCCGCGTCTGACGCCGAGGCGCTCGTCGACCCTGGGGGCGCACGCGCAGTCTGGACCAAGTCGGGCCTGCGGCATTCTCTGGCGAGGCGTCGCCTGGGGACCCGGGCGCATCCCGGCGCTGGCCTCGCGCTGCGGGTCGCGCCTCCGCCGCCGACGTCGGCGCCGCCGAGCCACGGCGGGCGCGGCCCCGAGCGCGCCCAGCAGCGCTGAGAAACAGATGTTGGACCCGGAGTCCGAGTCGGAGGTTGACCCAGCGGATCGGCCGGGCGAGGCTGCGAGGGCGGGCATGATGGCACGCGGCGAGATGCGCCCGCTGGCCCCAGAGGGATGCCCGGACGCCGCCAGCAATACCCCCACCACCCTCCTGTACGAGGAAGGCCGCGCCCCAGACGCCCCTGCCACCCGGGGACGGCACGAATGCGAGCGCCTGCCCGCGCGCCCACCACGAGCAGGTCTACAAGGCCACGCGGCACAAGGACAAGCGCAGCCAGGCGACCTGCTTCAAGGCGAGCGTCGGGACCACGTCAAGCGACCCCCTCAACCTCACCCGGGACACCGACAAGGCGGCCCAGGCTGGCAGCCGTGGGAGCGAGGCGCGAGAGGTGTCTGTCTGGCCTCCGCCTGCGCGGCCGGCGGATTCCCACATCGAGGAATCGCACGCTGGAGCGGCCCATCACCGCGGACGCCGCTGGGCCCGCGAGCAGCCCAGGCGAACCAGCGCCGAGCCCCGCCGGACCACCCAGCGTGAGGTTCGAGGGGGGGGTGCCCCCGCCGCAGGCGCCGCCGATGCCCAACAATCCCCCAAAGCCCCAGCGCTTCGCATTGAGAGTTCAAAGTGAACTGGCTGGAGGGAGCCAAATGGATGGTCTCCCTAGGACTGATGGACACTCCAAGAACAGCGGTAGCAATCGCGGACTACACGCCGGGGACGCTGCCCATCATTGTGGAAGACCCGCATGGCGGGCAGATGCGTTTCCTGGCGCTCCCGGACGGGGTCATGCCTTCTCCATTGACGGGACCCACTAGCCGGCTGCCAGAGGGCTTCCTCGAAGAGATACTCATCCGCCCTCCCATGGGCCTTCTTGAGTTGGGGGGCCAACGTGGCCGCCACCCGGATCCCCGAGAGGGTACAACGAAACTCAAGAAGTGCCATGGCCTCCACGTGGGAGGACGAGCACCACCGCTGGGCGCCGACAAGTGGAAGGAGCTGCGAGGGCGGCGCAGCGCGCTCCAGTCAGGCGGCTGGCGTCGGAGCAGTAGCTGAAGGAGCACTGGCGCAAGCTCAACCGCGACAGCTCCCCAAGGACCTCACGACGAACGCGAGGGGATTCGACGGCTGCGCCAGTCAGGCCATCTGGACGGAATCGGTCAAGGACCCCGTCTGCTGAGCGAACCTCCCGGCGAGGCCCCAGCGCTGAGGGAGCCCCCTTGGAAGCCAGTAGCGAGCCATATCGCGGGATGCTCGAGCTCTCCCTCGAGGCTAAGGAGCGCGGAGCCACCGACGCAAACTTCCGCGCTGCTGCTGCTGCTACTGTATGACTCCCTCTTCCATCCAAAATGTACGACACTATGTTTTGGCCCAATGTTCTCTGTGTCATACTCGCGGCCGTCCCACTCTCGCACCCTCGTCCCTGGCAGCCGAATCATGTCGCAGTTCAGAGTCTCTGCGATATCCCTGAGTCGGCCTGCGGAAATGGGCGAGAGGAGGTTGCACGGGGCGACCCGTAGCAGACCCACAACTAGCCCCGCGTACAGGCTCGCCAGATGCATCAGCGGCCGAGCATGGGAGGCAGAAGGTGAATGAACGCTGGATGGGGATCGAGCTAGGGGGTCGCTGCCTCTGCACACATGTAGCTCGGTCAGGAATGGCAGCTGAGGAGAGAGAAGGAGAAGGAGAAGGAGAAGAAGAAGAAGAAGAAGAAGAAGAAGACAGCACTGAGGACGACGTCCGCAGTGGTAGGGCGACGCGCCCGCCCAATCCCCTCCTCAGGGGAGGGACACGACCTGGCCGAACGGCCTCGCGAGCTCCATGTCCTCGAGTGAGTGCGCTGGGAAGGCATCCCGATCCGATAGCCACTGAGCCACTGCATCGATGCCCCTCTCCGTGGGATCCGCTGCCCTCTGCGACGATGTGGAAACTAGCCCCAGCAAAGCCTTGCGAGCACGACTGGACCTTGCCTGCGGCGCCTCCTTGCCGCAGTCGTTCGGAGGAGGAGGAGGAGGAGGAGGAGGAGCAGGAGGAGGAGGAGGAGCAGAAGGCGGAAGGGAGGAGGAGCAGGAGGAGGAGGAGGAGGGGGAGGAGGAGGAGGAGGAGGAGCAGGAGGAGGAGGAGAGGGAGGAGCAGGAGGAGGAGGAGGAGGAGGGGAGGAGGAGGAGGAGGGAGAGAAGGAGGAGAAGGAGGAGGAGGAGGAGGAGGGAGGAGGAGAGGAGGAGAGAGGAGAGGGAGGAGGAGGAAGGGAGGAGGAGGAGCAGGAGGAGAAAGGGGAGCAGGAGGAGGAAGAGGAGGAGGAGGAGGAGGAGCAGGAGGGGGTGGTGGGCCCGTGACCCGCGGAGCTCCCCTCCCGCGCGCGCCTTCGCGTGGCCCGGGGACAGGCGCCGGCCGACCTCGCCGCGGCAGGGGCGGGAGCAGCGCTTTCTCTCCTCCCTCGGTGCTCCACCCTGCTCCTGCTGCTCCTCCTCCTCCTCCTCCTCCTCCTCCTCCCCCTCCTCCCCTCCTCCTCCTCCTCCTCCTCCTCCTCCTCCTCCTCCTCCTCCTACTCCTCCTCCCCAGACCTCTGCTCAATCCCAACGTACTTATTCGATGTCGGGCTCCGTTGGCAGCTTCTGGGCTCTGGGGCCATGACAACTAGAACCGGGCGTGCGCTTCGCGCTTAGGTTCCAGCAGGCCCCAACCGTTCACAGCTGCACGCCTACACCGTCTGGTGGAGGGAGAGGGGGCGGTGGCATTCGATTTGCTCCGTCTAGCGCAAGAGATTTCATGTGTATATATATGTATATAAAATCTGTACGCATGTAGACATAAAGGGGTCAGCATTGAATCCGCCGGCGCGGATAGTCCCACAGCTGGAGCGGGGCCCTTCCAACATGTTCATTGGCGGGCGTAGACATTGCGAACGGCGAGATGCGAGGGCACGCGCTTACAATCCGTCACCCTGCCTCTGGGCACGGAGCAGGCGTGCCCTCAGGTCCTTTGCCGAATCATCTAAGCCTCAATCCTCACTCCTAAGGAACCTTTTCAGAAACCCAGACCCCGAATTCTCAAATCTCCCAGGGGCTCCCGCGTGCCCCCCGAGGCTTCCCGCGTGCCCCCGGGGCTCCCCCGCATCTTGTCGCTGGACTTTTCTGGCCCAGGAGGGCCCCAAGATGGGCCAAGAGGGCCCCACGAGATTCCGAAGACGGTCCGAGAGGGCCCCGGGACGCCCAAAGATCGGCCCAAGGCGCCCAAGATGGCCTCAAGATGGCCCAAGAAGCCTCCAAGAAGCCCCAAGAGGCGTTCAAGAGGCCTCCCAAGAGTGATTTTTTCTCTGGGTCTTTGAAAGATGTGGGCGTTCTCGCGTTTTCGGCTTTCCGACGCTCCAAGACGACCCAAGAAGCCCTCAAGACCACCCCAAAACGGCCCAAGAGGCCTCCAAGAGGGCCACAAAACGGGCCAAGAGCGCCCCATGACGGCCCAAGAGACGCCCAAGACAGCCCAAGAGGGCCCCAAGACGGCCCCACAGGGGCCAAAGAAAGGGAACACGAACCGAAAATCCGAGCCTTCCGCCCCAAGGGGCCCCAGGAGGCCCCAAAAGGCGCCCAGGAGGCCCAAGAAGCCCCCACGAGGCCCCCAAGAGGCCTCCAGAGGCCCCCAAGAGGCCCACAAGAGGCTCCGAGAGGCCCCCGAGCGACCCCCAAGAGGTCTCTAAACTGCCTCCAAGAGGCCTCCGAGAGGCCCCCCCACAAGATCCCAACGAACATCCAGTAGGATTCATACCCACAACCCACGCACCGTGGCGGGATGGGCCGAAAGCCATCAGGTGAGCAGTCTCCAACGTTCCCACAGGAGGACCCTGGGAAGCCCCCCCGAGAGGCCCCCCCCCCGGGAGCACCCGACGAAGCCTCGAACGCGGCCCGGCAAGAGTGAACAGCCGTGCATCTTCTCGGGCGCACCAGCCTGCAGCGAATGCTACTCGCACGAGGCCCCCGCTCGAAAGTTCCTGGCTGAAACTTCCTCCTCGAACGGGGGCTCCCGCTTAAGACTTCCTCGCGGTGCAGCATTCCGATGACCCGATCGGATCGAAAACACGAGGCACGGGCCCCATAGAGAGGGGGCTCCCGCCTGAGAATTCCTCCCAATTCACTCACGGACGAGGCTCCCGCACGAGACTCCCTCCAGATTCAAGGCTCAGGGACCCGAAAATGACGACAATTACAAGGGACGACCCGCTCGAATTAGCAACATGATCTGCGGGCCGCTCCCGCCTGAGACTTCCTCCCAATTCACTCACAGACGGGGCTCCCGCACGAGACTTCCTTCAGACTCAATGCTCAGGGGCCCGAAAGTGACGACAAATACAGGATTTTGATGACCCGCTCGGATGAATTCGCCATCGCAACGGCAGAGGCGTGCTAAGATCTCCGGTGACAGGAGTATAATAGTTGTACTTCGCGCGCGCGCGGCGGCCCCTGGAAATCCCTGGTCGAAAAGCACCCCCGCGCGCATCCCGGGCCCTGCTGCTCAAGGAGACGGGAACTCCTGGGGCCGCTCTTCGGGGCTCTCAGGATCGCCCGGAGAACGCCGCCCGGATGGCCCAAAGAACGCCTCCCAGGCGCCCCAAGAGGCATCCAAGAGCACTTTTTTCTACCCATCGAAGAGGCCCAGCGGCAAGGAGGCATCCAAGAGCACACCCACGAGGGCCCAAAAAGACAAAAATCATATACGTCCCGTGGGCTTTGAGGGAGTCTGACGTTCTCGCCTGTTCGGCTTTCACACACGGCAGGACCGCCCCAGCCAGAGGCTTCCGAAGTCGCTCCAGCACGGCCCGACAAACCTCCAAGGGCATTGCAAGACGGCCCCAGGGGCTCTCAAGATTGCCCTCCCTCCTCCTCCTCCTCCTCCTCCTCCTCCTCCTCCTCCTCCTCCTCCTCCTCCTCCTCCTCCTCCTCCTCCTCCTCCTCCTCCTCCTCCTCCTCCTCCTCCTCCTCCTCCTCCTCCTCCTCCTCCTCCTCCTCCTCCCTCCTCCTCCTCCTCCTCCTCTCCTCCTCCTCCTCCTCCTCCTCCTCCTCCTCCTCCTCCTCCTCCTCCTCCTCCAAGACGCCTTCAAGAGGGCCCCAAGACGGCCCAAGAGGCCTCCGAGACGGCCAAGGACCCGAACGCAGAGTTCGACCACTCAGCCCCACGACGCCTCTGGGAGGCCCCACGAGGCCCGCAAGAGGCCTCAAGAAGCTCCCCCAGGAATCTCCAAGAGGCTCCCAAGAGGCCCCCAAGAAGCTCCCACTGACGCTCGACCCCATGCCACCAGCTTCCCCCCTCTTCATCCTGCCCCTCCTCCTCTCCTCTCCTCCGCCTCCTCCTTTACACTCGCCACAAGCTACCAAGAAACAACGACATTCACACACGTACCAGGATGAAAAGCTAGTCCCCGAGAAGGTCTCGGACCTCTGGGAGCCACAAACCGCATACAAAATGCCAGGCCGCAAAAACATGATCGACACGAACCCGGAAAGGAATCTTCAAGACACCAGATTGGGCGACGGGCTGTTGCAATGCTGAGCGTATCGATCTTGATGTGCCGTGCCAAAGGCTGTGCTGTGCTGCGCCGTGCTGAATTGCGATGTGACATGCCGTGATTGTGCTCTATAGCGTTGTGGATCGAGTCCTCCTTTGCTTCCGAGGCCTGACCGAAATGATCTGGATCTTAAGCTCGAGCTGCCTGCGCACATGGTAGTTGCCCCAGGGCTAGTTGAAGTGGAAACGTGCGGGACGTTCAATCAATTCGCCCTCAAAGTCCGACTCAGCTCCGAAAAGGAGCAACACCACTCGGGGCACAGGCTCACGGACGCGCCTCATGATGTGCCAGGGGCGCAGCAGGGGATGCGTCAGGGGGCGTGTCAGGGGACGTCTAAGGGGACGTGCCCTGGACGTGTCAGGGACCTCCCACGGGACGTGCCAAGGCGCGTGCCATGGGGCGGCCAGAGGACGCCATGCCGAGGGACGTCGCCAGGGGCGCGCCACGGAACGGGCAGGGGAAACGCCTGGAGACGAGCCAGGAAATCCGACAGAGGTACGGTACGGCTATCCTCGGAAGTGGGGTCAACGCCCTCTCAGCCGGGGGGATGCCAGGCTGAAGAACTCGGTAGCCCAAATGCGACAGAGGACGAGCCAGGCAACGTGCCACGCCGAGTGGCGTGCCGGGGGACGTGCCAAGGCACGTCACGCCAGGACGTCGCAAGGGGACGCGCCGGGGGACGCGCCAACGCGCCAGGGGACGCCCCACGGACGAGCGGACGTGGACTGCGATGCGCTCTACTGCGACGAGCGTTTCGCTCGCGACGTCCTCGACAAATCTTCACGCTGGGCGACCTGGACACGTGAAGAACAAGCGTCTGGCTCGAGACATCCTCAACACGTCCTCATGCTGGACATCCGCCTGGGCGACCTGGACACGTGAAAACAAGCGTCTCGCTCGAGACGTTCTCAGCACCTTCTCATGCTAGACATCTGCCTGGGCAGCCTGAATGTGCGAAAACAAGCGTTTCGCTCGAGACAACCTGCCCAAATCCTCATGTTAGACCTCCGCCTTGGCGACCTGGACACGTGAAAACAAGCGTTTCGCGCAACACATCCTCAAGACATCCTCATGCTAGACATCCGCCTGGACGACCTGGACACGTAAAAGCAAGCGTCTCGCTCGAGACATCCTGTCCAAATCCTCATGTTAGACATCCGCTGGGGCGACCTGGACAAGCCGAAACAAGTGTTTCGCGCGACACATCCTCAACACATCCTCATGCTAGACATCCGCCTGAACACTGGACACGTGAAACCAGGCGTCTCGCTCGAGACATCCTCAACACATCCTCATGCTAAACATCTGCCTGGGCGACCTGGACGCGTGAAAACAAGCGTCTCGCTCCAGACCTCCTCAACAAATCCTCATGCTAGACATCTGCCTGGGTAACCTGAACGCGTGAAACCAGGCGTTTCGCTCGAGACATCCTCAAGACCTGGACGGATTAAAACACCTGGGACATCCTCTGATGAGCAAAATATAACAGAAAACAAGCGTTTCGTTCGAGACATCCTCAACAATTCTCAAAAACAAGCGTGTCGCTCGAGACATCCGCAACATCGGACATGTTTACTTTACCATCTGCTTTATCAATCGGAATTTCAAGAAAGAGCGTTTCGCTCGGGACATCCTCAACGTTTCAACTCGCCAGCCCTGCGCGGCCTCGTCATTTCTCGCAGAATACACTCCCCGGCCCTGCGCAAGTCGAGGCCGGGCCGGCGCCAATACCTCTAGAAGAGAACCCCGGGCCTAGCCCTGTCCGGGAACAAAAATCGTCGGAGATCTAAAATGAAGGGGCCCTGGGACACGCAAATGAATAGACACAAATAACAGGATTCCCCATATTTCCCCATATTTTCTGGGTTTTTGTCTTCCCCCCCACTTCCCATATTTTCCCATGTTCTTCTGGGAGTCGACGATGAATGGTGTCTGTGTGTTTTTTTCCCTCCTGATAAAAGAAGTCTGGGCCCCTCGTGGGGCGTGCCAGCGTGCCCCGCCGCCCTCCCTGGACGCGGAGGCGCGCACGCGAGCGCGGGCGCCCCGACCCGCCCCGCCCCCCGGAGCTGCCTCCGCCGCGAAGTCGACGGCAACGTCCTGCGCCACCTGCGCGGGAGAGGAGCAAAAACATCATCGAACCACGAGCCTGGAAAAGGGACTGAAGGAGGAGGAGGAGGAGGAGGAGGAGGAGGACTGCAAGGCACAGAACCGCTGCTGCGGACCTCGATTCGCCACTTGCACATGCAGTTGGGCGATGCCAGGGGGACATGCCGGGGTGGCGCGCCGCGGAACGTCCCAAGGGACGCGCCCGGGTGCGAGCCAGGGGACGTGCCATGGGGGCCGCGGGACTCGCCATGGAACGTGCCAGGGAACGTGCCAGGCGACGCGCCCGGGGACGTGCCAAGGAACGCGCCAGGGAACGTGCCACGGAACCCCCTGTACCGTTTCCGGCGAAATCCGGCGAATCCGGCGAACCCGGCGGCGAATCCGGCGACGAATTCCGAACCAGCGCCCTCGAGTGGGACATCCTCAGAAAAACCGGCACCCAGAGCCTTCCCAAGGAGGCCCTCAGAGGCCCACCTGTTCGTTTCCAGCGAGATCCGGCGAATCCAGCGGATCTGGCGAATCTGGCGAAAGATTCCAAACTGGCGCCCAAACCGGCCCCCGGAGCCTCTCCAAGGCTGTTCCGTTTCAGGCGAGATCCGGGAAACCCTTGGGGGGAGGAGGAGGGGAGACGAGGAGGGAAAGGAGGAGAGGGAGGACGACGAGGTGAAGGAGGACAAGAGGAGTTGGAGGAGGCAGCGGATGAAGAGGAGGAGAAGGACAAGGAGGAGGAGGAGGAGGAGAACCACAGCACACTCAGACAGCATCACCACAGCACTCAACACAGTTCGCAACCAAGCATACCGCAGCGCCACCCATACGCACCACCTTCAAAAAACATATCAGCCCACTTCCGACACACAACTATTGCTACTACTATTCGCCGACAGGACCGACTACACCACTGAGCTCAGACCACGACGACTCAAGTACCTAGCAAAGCTGACCCTCAACGGACCGCACATCCTACTCCGACTCATCGACCTGTGCCACGAGCAACAGACGCAAGTTGACCAGATCACGACACCACCACACACTTGGGTCGACCTCATTAAAGATGACATCAGTTGGATGACAGAGCTCACCACTGCGACAGAAGACCCACAAAGACAACGGGACGCACGCAGATGGCTACAATACGCTCACGAGGCACCCAAGCAGTTCAACGATCAAGTTGCCAAGGCAAAGAAGCGACGACAAACCATATTCAGCGACCTACTCAGCACAACCCTCTGGACCCAAAAGATGCAGCAACTCGACCACAACAACACAATACAACCACCCAATCCCACCCCACTGATTGTAACCTACCTTTGCTACGAATGCGACCACACAAGCAGAACCGTCAAAGACTGGAAAATGCACCGCACAAACAAAACACCCACTAGCTGACGACATCCAAAACAAAGTAAAAGAAAGCAGCTGCCAATGTTGCAACTGACAATTTCACATAAGGCAGCGGCTTCTCACACACGTCAAGTACCGAGTCACAAGATGTTACCAGCACTACATGTAGATCATCACCAGCATGACAAAAGGAGAGCTAGCCACATTACGTGCTGAGGAAGACAAGGAGAACAAGACCAACCGAAGCAAGGGTTTCGGTCACGACGCCGCGACAATACCACTCACTTCCGCCCAATCACAAGAGACATAAAAAAGCAAACACGGGACTACGCCGACCCACCGACAACGACTACACATACAGCCAACACCAAGGACCCTACTGACCGACAACAAGACAAGCCCCAGCTACATCCTGCTACTCAACCAGCATAGCAGGCACAGCAACGCCCTACAGCACAACCTTGAGCACTACACGTGCATAAGCATCAACACGACCGACACAACAGGATACGACATAGCCCACCAACACACAACCGAAGAATGGCTCGACAGAATCGCTCAAGGCCAAATAGCTGCCATCATCCCCGTCATGGACGACAAAATCAACCGCAACAACACCCCATGCCCAAACACCGCATACTGGGGACGCCCAAACCAATCAGCCAATCAGCTACGAAAGACACGCAATCACTATCGCAGACTCCAGAACACAACACTACTCATTGCAGCAGCTCAACATACCAACACGCCAGCCATAACGACGACAAAACCAAACACAGCAGAGACCAGCACAGTATCTGGGACACTATACAACTAAACCAACTGAACAGCCTAGCACAACACAATACGATCGACATATGCAAAATGGGCCACGGAGACCAGAGCACAACACACATACGATCATGGCAGATGCCACTACTTGCGCACTCACTCAACACTACGAGCAACGGCAACAGATGCACCTGCTCGGCACACACACAGGATCACGCGAGCGACATCGACCGTTCCGATAACATCCCAGCACTTTTGTGCTACCTGATTATCATTTGCATAGCGGACCGACTAACCCAGTTCCCAGCGCCAAGCACAAGAAAGACCATACAAGGATACATACCGCTTGACCCCTACTCGTAAACACGCGCGCAGCACCAATCGGTTTCACTACGGCACACAGCAGCCCAACCCCATAATTACTACAAGCACTCCTACTGAACAACAGACACAGCGACGTCCAAAACTGGCACATGCAGATACATGCGCACTACTACATAAGCTTTCCCGCACGAGTGTCCGCATCATAAAGGTGGCATCCCAAGACGGGGAAAGCGCTAATCAGCACAGTGCCCTCCCATTGCCAGTTGCTCCTACGCCGTCAGTGCCGTCCGACCTCCATGGTTTACCACGGAGATTAACATAGCACCTGTCCAGGAACCCACAGCACGCCTACGCAGCACCAAAAACACCGGCGACGGACCGAGCAGTACAACCACGACAAGAAGACGACACCCCAGTCGCCTCATACCCTGGATGGGAGCCCTGAGGGGCATACCTGGGGGAGGGGCACAAGATACTGGTACAGCAGCACCACGCAGAGGCAACACAAGAAACCAACACCACTCGCACGGACCCAATCACGGCAGCAGGACAACGACATACGGGGCAGACCTGGGGGAAGGGCACCATCAGCACAATCCTATACTTCAGTTGACCATTCGGCAGATACATGAATTCTTTCACCACGGCTTCATCACCTGATTACTACCGTGAAAACACAAAGAAGACAGTTGCATCATTATGATACATGGCCCTCTGTTCGGTTAACCAGACAGCGTATCCTTATACATCCAGAAGCCACACAAGCGCATGTACGCACTACTGACAAACAGATAACCAACGGATACAGCGACACACTGTACTGGTATATACCACCACACGCACACGACTACCTACAGGCTGTCCCGCAGGCGTGCTAATCAGTACAGTGCCCTTACATAGCCATTAGCTCTTATGCCCTTTATACAATTTTATCTCCTAGGCAAATACGGAGACGTACGCAGCACCTGTCCAGCACCTGCGCAGCACGCTACGCAGCACCAGCACACAGGCGACGGGCCGAGCAGTACAGCCACGACAAGGAGACGGCACAACAGTCGCCTCATACCCTGCATGGGAGCCCTGAAGGGCACACCTAGGGGAGAGGCACGCGATACTGGTACAAGCAGCACCACACAGAGACAGCACGATAAACCAGCACCACTCGCATGGACCCAACCAATCACAGCAGGACAACGACACCCAGCTACAGTGGGCACCGCTGCATACCCTGCATGGCAGCCCTACGGGGCACACCTGGGGAGAAGCATCAGCAACGCATTCGGATAATTCAGGTGATCATACGACAGATACATCAATTCAACTATTTCCCCACGACTTCGCCCTTTGATGTACTACCTTGAAAGCAGAGAGAAGATATGTGCGTTATTCTGATACACAGCCCAATGTTCTTTACCAGATAGCGCCTCCCTATCTATCCAGAAGCCACACAAGTACATTCACACTCTCTAGTACATCTGTCACAGCTTCTGCGTGGGCAATCTGCACACGCAAGAATCCTGACAACAATGTGATGCAGTTCTACTCCTCACCCCTCTTGCGCACCCCAGACCTGTGCTTCTGGCCAGCCTGTAACATTGCAGGCCAGCCACACGGTCAGCATACTCTAAAGGCCAACCCCTCTGTACATTGTTGACGGCACGTGTGGGTACTTTCTTGGAGGGGACTTGCGCTACGGTTTGGGGTACTCCAAAACCCTGGGCAGCAACCCTAGAACTGCATAGTATCATTAATCTCTTTCTTACGAACAGCAAGCATTGCGCTGCCTTATAACATGACGACACTCATCACCGATCCAAGGTTTCTTACTTTGAGGTTACTCTTGTTCATCTTACTGCTTCCACTAAGTTGGGTGTGGTCACACCTGGCGAGCGCCTACTCTCAACAATCATATTATCCTGCGATCTCTCTCTCTCTCTCACACATTTTCCGCGGCACCCGCCAGGTGCTGTTTTTTGACCCGATCGTTCTTTTTTCCCTAGCCACATCATCAACGCAACAGGCTCGCACCTAATGTTGGTCTAACAAGAAGGAGGAGGAGGAGGAGGAGGAGGAGGAGGAGGAGGAGGAGGAGGAGGAGGTGGAGGTGGAGGTGGAGGTGGAGGTGGAGGTGGAGGAGGAAGAAGAGGAGGAGAAGGGGAAATAGGAGGAGGTGGGGATTGCAAGCATGGCAGCGGGCGCCCGCCCGATCCTCACCCTCCAGATATTCATGCTCGTCATCCTCGCTCTCCTGGCCCTTCTCCACATGCTCAGCCTCCAGCTCCACGCTCGCCTGATCCTCACCCGCGTGACCCTCACTCTCCTGATCCTCCCCCTCGCGAGCCTCGCCCTCCTGATCCTCTCGCTCATTCTCATCTCGATCGTTATCCTCCCGCCGAGAAGCGCACGCCCCTTCTTCTATGTACAGAAAATCCCGATCAACCGCAGAGCGGCGGGCTAGTAGCATCCATGCGCTATCCAGCTATCATGTTAGTATCTATGCGCACCCCCTCTGGTGTCGAGAAAGCGTCACGCCTGCCACGCTCTCCGACCCTGGCACGCAGAAAGGCCGCGGTGACAGCCTCCCACGCTATCCGACCCTGGCACGCACAGAGGCCGCGGTGAGGGACCACCCCCTGCGCACGCCCTCGGCTGTCGAGAAAGTGCCACGCCTGCCGCGCTCTCCGACTCTGGCACGCATAGGGGCCGCGCTGAGGGACCACCCCCTGCGCACCCCCTCGGGTGTCGAGAAAGTGCCACGCCTGCCACGCTCTCCGACCCTGGCACGAATAGGGGCCGCGCTGAGGGACCACCCCCTGCGCACCCCCTATGGTGTCGAGAAATTACCACGCCTGCTATGCCCTGGACGACCGGGGCGCATAGCGGGCTCGCTGAGGGACCACCCCCTGCGCACCCTCTACGGTGTGAAGAAAGTGCCACGCCTGCTATGCTTGGAACGACAGGGGCGCATACTGGGCGCGCTGAGGAACCACCCCCTGCGCATCCCCTATGGTGTCGAGAAAACGCCACGCCTGCGATGTCCTGGACGACCGGGGCGCATAGCGGCCGCGAAGAGGGACCAGCCCCAGCGCACCCCCTACGGTGTCGAGAAAGTGCCACGCCTGCTATGCCCTGGGCTGCTGAGGGACCACCCCCTGCGCACCCCCTATGTTGTTGAGAAAGTGCCACGCCTGCTGTGCCTGGACGACTGGAGCGTATAGAAACCGCAGTGAGGGACCACCCCCTGCGCATCCCCTATGGTGTCGAGAAAGTGCCACGTCTGCTGTGCCTGGACCACAGGGCCGTCTTGAACCCGCGGTGAGGGACCATCCCCCTGCGCACCCCCTATGTTGTGGAGAAAATGCCACACCTGCTGTGCTTGGACGACTGGGGCGTATACAGACCGCGGTGAGGGACCACCCCCTCCGCACCCCATATGGTGTCGAGAAAGTGCCACGCCTGCTGTGTCTGGACGACTGGGGCGCATAGAGGCCGCGGTGAGGGACCACTCCCTGCACACCCCCTTATGGTGTCGCGAAAGTGCCACGCCGGCCGTGCCCTGCGCGCCTGCAATGCTTAGAGACCGCACCCCCAGTGCACCCCATCTGGTGTCGAGAAAATGCCACGCCTGCTGCGCCCTGCGAGCCTCCAACGGATAGAGACCGCACCCCCTGCGCACCCCCTGTTGTCGAGAAGATCGAGGATCGAGGAAGGGTTCGAGGTTCGAGGAGGGGAGGGGAAGATCGACGATCGAGGTTCGATATGGGTCGCCTGACTCTGCGCGTCGCGCCCCTCTCCTGCGCGACGCGTGGTCCCCTTCGAGCCCCGGCGCCGACCCTCTGGAAAGGGGCGCAGCCTCTGGCCCGGGCCGCGGCGCGCGAAGCGCGGCTGTCTTCGCGCCCCTGCAGGCGACCTGGAGGCTGGAGCATCGAGGCTCGAGGATCCAGCATCGAGGCCCGGGGATCCAGGCTCGATCCTCGGGTCTCGAGGATCGAGCATCAAGGATCGAGATTCAAGGATCGAGGAGCGAGTAGCGAGCGTCGAGACTCGAGGACTCGAGCGTCCAGACTCGAACATCGAGAGGCGGGAAGGGAGGGAGGAGGCCGCCCCCCAGTGCAGGGCGACGAGCAGGCGCGCGCACGCGCGCGCCGTGCCTCGCGCCGCTGCCCGAACAGGTTGGCGAACACGACGAGCTCGCTGCGGGACGCCGCCCCGCCGCGCCCGACGACAACGAGAACGACGACGACGACGACGACGACGACGACGACGACGACGGCGGCGACGAAGATGACGACGACGGTGACGGCGAAGGCGACGACGACGATGACGACGACGACGATGACGATGACGACGACTCTGGCAGCGACGGCAACGGCAACAGGGACAGCAACGGCGAAGGCGGGCGACGGCAGCGCGGCGACAAAGAAAACGACAACGGCGACGACAACGGCGAACACCATGACGACGACGACGACGACGACGACGACGACGACGACGACGACGACGACGACGACGACGATGACGACGACGACGACGACGGCGACGGCGACGGCGACGGCGGCGGCGGCGGCGGCGGCGGCGGCGGCGACGACGACGGCGACGGCGGCGGTGACGAAGAAAACGGCGACGGCGGCGGCGGCAGCGAGCACCACGACGACGACGACGACGACGACGACGACGACGACGACGACGACGACAACGACGCCGGCGGTGACGGCGGCGGCGGCGGCGGCGGCGACGTTGTTTTCCACTTCGGGTTTCCTGGGGGGCCCTCGCCGCGACGGTTGGGTCCACCTTGAGATCCGTGTCAGAGCGCGCCCCGAGACAGGTCGGGCGGGCCTGGGGGGAGGGGGGGCCCAGACCCCCAAACGCAGCGACAAAAAAACACGACGGGCGAGTTGATGCACCCGTTTTCAGGTCCCGGAACGGGACGGCCGAAAAACGACTCGCGGCGAACAAGAGCAGTCCCAGGAAAGGGGTCGCGAGCTGCGGGCCCGACGTTGCACAACAACAATAACAATAGCAATATCAACGACAACACAACAACAACAACAACAACAACAACAACAACAACAACAACAACAACAATCACTTTACCCGAACGCTCAGTGTTCTCACCAGTGCCAGGGTTTTCATGCGACGCCAGCCAATACCCCCACTTTGTGGGGGGGCAGTGCAAGCTCTACCAAATATCCACACGACTCTTCGCCACCACCCACACCCAGCTTCCCGCCCTATGACGTTCGGACACTTCACTTCGTGGCCTGCGGACGACCGTGGCTACTACACTGGCGTGGAGTACACACCCACAGAAGTTGTTAAGCCTACGTTCGTACACCCACAGAAGTTGTTAAGCCTTCTGAACCCACAAGGCTTAACAACTTGTGAACCCACACCCGTTGCAAGAGCGTGCGAAAGTAGCTCGCGCGAGCTCATGTAACATAAATGTTGGAAAACCATTGGTTGTTTTAGGATTCGGACAGCGCGCGCGGGTGGAAATTTTGAAAAGTCGTGCAGGTGTTTTTCGAGGACCTACGGTGCGATTCGTGTGATTTTATGATGCGCGGTGCTAAAATTCTTAAGAAGCCCAATGGTTTTTGGAGATTTCGGCGTGCGCGCGCGAAGAAAAAACGAATGTGTCCCGCATGGTATTATTTGACAGGGATGATGGCCCTGGCAGGTGCGCAACCGTTGTCGCAGAAGTTCGAAAAAGTTGCTCGCAAAAGCCCGTTTGACAGAAATGTTTAAAAAGTGTTGGGTTTCCTACGAATCCGCAAGAGCGCGCGGGATGAGATTTTGACATTTTTTTGTTGAAAAACCATTGGTTTTTTGATGTTTTTATGTTAAAATCGCTGCGAACACTAAGCTTTTGGAAGGATTTCGTCTTGCGCGCGCGAATGTCCACTTTACCTTATTTTTTGCAAGGGATTCTTGAAATTTGATTATATTAGAACAAGAAATGTCATTTTATAGTGTTTTTTGCAAGGGAAAACGGATTACAACAAAACAACCGGATCTTGATCACATCGTATTACCTGAGGCTTCCTCACGAAAATGATGAAAATGTAGCTGCGGCCTAGGCGGCGCAGGGGGGCCGTGCACCAGGGGGCCCAACAATAATTATTCTTTAGAATTAATAATGTTCAACAACAACAACAACAACAACAACAACAACAACAACAACAATCACTTTACCCGAACGCTCAGTGTTCTCACCAGTGCCAGGGTTTTCATGCGACGCCAGCCAATACCCCCACTTTGTGGGGGGGCAGTGCAAGCTCTACCAAATATCCACACGACTCTTCGCCACCACCCACACCCAGCTTCCCGCCCTATGACGTTCGGACACTTCACTTCGTGGCCTGCGGACGACCGTGGCTACTACACTGGCGTGGAGTACACACCCACAGAAGTTAGTTAGGAAGTCGTGCAGGTGTTTTTCGAGGACCTACGGTGCGATTCGTGTGATTTTATGATGCGCGGTGCTAAAATTCTTAAGAAGCCCAATGGTTTTTGGAGATTTCGGCGTGCGCGCGCGAAGAAAAAACGAATGTGTCCCGCATGGTATTATTTGACAGGGATGATGGCCCTGGCAGGTGCGCAACCGTTGTCGCAGAAGTTCGAAAAAGTTGCTCGCAAAAGCCCGTTTGACAGAAATGTTTAAAAAGTGTTGGGTTTCCTACGAATCCGCAAGAGCGCGCGGGATGAGATTTTGACATTTTTTTGTTGAAAAACCATTGGTTTTTTGATGTTTTTATGTTAAAATCGCTCCGAACACTAAGCTTTTGGAAGGATTTCGTCTTGCGCGCGCGAATGTCCACTTTACCTTATTTTTTGCAAGGGATTCTTGAAATTTGATTATATTAGAACAAGAAATGTCATTTTATAGTGTTTTTTGCAAGGGAAAGCGGGGGGGAACAAAACAACCGGATCTTGATCACATCGAATTACCTGAGGCTTCCTCACGAAAATGATGAAAATGTAGCTGCGGCCTAGGCGGCGCAGGGGGGCCGTGCACCAGGGGTCCCAACAATAATTATTCTTTAGAATTAATAATGTTCAACAACAACAACAACGACAACGACAACAACAACGACAACACAACAACAACAACAACGACAACAACAACGACAACGACAACGACAACGACACAACAACAACAACAACAACAACAATCATTTTACCCGAACGCGTGGTGTTCTCCCCAGTGCCAGGGTTTTCATACGACACCAGGCAATACCCCCACTTCGTGGGGGGGCATTACAAGCTCTACCAAATATCCAAACGACTCTTCGCGACCACCCAAACCCAGCTTCCCGCCCTATGACGTTGGGACACTTCACTTCGTGGCGTGCGGACGACCGTGGCTACTACACTGGCGTGGGGTACACACCCACAGAACCCAATGGTTTTTGGAGATTTCGGCGTGCGCGCGCGAAGAAAAAACGAATGTGTCCCGCATGGTATTATTTGACAGGGATGATGGCCCTGGCAGGTGCGCAACCGTTGTCGCAGAAGTTCGAAAAAGTTGCTCGCAAAAGCCCGTTTGACAGAAATGTTTAAAAAGTGTTGGGTTTCCTACGAATCCGCAAGAGCGCGCGGGATGAGATTTTGACATTTTTTTGTTGAAAAACCATTGTTTTTTTGATGTTTTTATGTTAAAATCGCTCCGAACACTAAGCTTTTGGAAGGATTTCGTCTTGCGCGCGCGAATGTCCACTTTACCTTATTTTTTGCAAGGGATTCTTGAAATTTGATTATATTAGAACAAGAAATGTCATTTTATAGTGTTTTTTGCAAGGGAAAACGGATTACAACAAAACAACCGGATCTTGATCAACTCGAATTACCTGAGGCTTCCTCACGAAAATGATGAAAACGTGGCTGCGGCCTAGGCGCGGCGGGGGGGGCGCGCACCAGGGGGCCCAACAATAATTATTCTTTAGAATTAATAATGTTCAACAACAACAGCAACAACAACAACAATCATTTTAAGACTGTTCGCCCTTATCTGCTCGAGTGGCCAATAACGCGTATTTCCCAAACCGTCGATACCCGCCCTCTCCGTCTTCGATCGAACCCCTTTTGGGGGGCATGCTTCCCCGCAGGCCGGGCCCCGGCAAGCGGCGGGGCGGCCGCGGACCGTCCGCCTGTCCAGCGGCAGCGCTGATCGGCGGGGCGGCCGCGGACCGTCGACCCGACCCCCCGAGGGACGAACAGGGGACTGACCACGACGAGGACGACGACGACGACGTCGATGACGACGGCGACGACGACGACGACGACGACGACGACGATGGCGACGACGACGACGAGCGAAAGCGAGAGCGAGAGAGAACGACAGCAGGGCCGCGAAGGACACGAAGTAGGCCACGAAGGGCGACAGCGGGGACACGAAGAGAACGCGTATGGGGCCACGAAGAGCGCGAACGAGCGGGGGCCACGAAAGGCAAAGAATGCGGGGCCACAGAAGGCAACGATGGGGCCACTGAAGGTAGCAACTGGGCCACGTAGGACAGTGCCACACACTGAGACAGCGGGGCCACGAAGGGCATGCACATGGGGCCAAAACTGGCGCGAACGAGCGGGGGCCACGAAGTGCATACGTATAATGGGCCGCGGAGGGCAAGAACGGGGCCACTGAGGGCAACAACGGGGCCACGAAGGGCAGCGAGGGGGCCACGAAGGGCGACAGCGGGGCCACGAAGGGCATGCATATGGGGCAACCACGGGCGCGAACGAGCGGGGGCCACGAAGTGCATACATATATGGGGCCACGAAGGGCAGCGAGGGCCACGAAGGGCTGCAACGGGGCCACGAAGGGCAGCGAGGGGGCCACGAAGGGCTGCAACGGGGTCACGGAGGGCTGCAACGGGGCCACGAAGGGCAGCGAGGGGGCCACGAAGGGCTGCAACGGGGCCACGAAACAAAGCGAGGGGGCCACGAAGGCCTGCAACGGGGCCACGAAGGGCAGCAAGGAGGCCACGAGGGGCTGCAACGGGGCCACGAAGGGCAGCGAGGGGGCCACGAAGGGCTGCAACGGGGCCACGAAGGGCAGCGAGGGGGCCACCAAGGGCTGCAACGGGGCCACGAAGGGCAGCGAGATCCCGATTCCTAGGTAATTTGTGGGGGAATCCTAAGCGTGACCGCGATTCCTGGGTGCCTGGGTGTCGGGAGCGCGGTCTCAGGCGGGAGCCTTTGTTGTTGTAAACCTGACTACCTACCAAACCACCCCAACTCAACCCGAAGACCCGAATTTGACCCGAATTTCGGGTTGGGGGGGGTACGGGTTCCCTGTGTTTTTTCAACGTTCCCCGACCCCCCCCCCACACTGGAAATGGAGGGCAAATTGAGGCCTTCGGATTGGGTTGGGGTGATTTGGTAGGTGGTGAAAACCAGGAGCGAACGACACAGTTTGACCCTCAATACTTTCCCTGATAAAAAAAGGTGCGAGCCCCGGGAAGGGCACTTCAATCGAAAAAAACAATGTGCACCGGACGGGGGGGCTCAACAATGATTATTCTTCAAAGATGAGAGTTCAACAACAACAACAACAACAACAACAACAACAACAACAACAACAACAACAACAACAATTACTAGCACGTGGGGACACTCCGTTCTCACCAGTGCCAGGGTTTTCATAGGAGGCGGGCAATACCCCCACTTTGTGGGGGGGCCGGTTCAAGCTCTACCAAATTTCCAAACGACTCTTCGCCACCACCCACACCCAGCTTCCCGCCCTATGACGTTCGGACACTTCACTTCGTGGCATGCGGACGACCGTGGCTACTATTCAGGGCCCCGCGGCCGACGACGACGGCGTGCGCGCGCGAAGAAAAAACGAATGTGTCCCGCATGGTATTATTTGACAGGGATGATGGCCCTGGCAGGTGCGCAACCGTTGTTGCAGAAGTTCGAAAAAGTTGCTCGCAAAAGCCCGTTTGACAGAAATGTTTAAAAAGTGTTGGGTTTCCTACGAATCCGCAAGAGCGCGCGGGATGAGATTTTGACAATTTTTTGTTGAAAAACCATTGGTTTTTTGATGTTTTTATGTTAAAATCGCTGCGAACACTAAGGTTTTGGAAGGATTTCGTCTTGCGCGCGCGAATGTCCACTTTACCTTATTTTTTGCAAGGGATTCTTGAAATTTGATTATATTAGAACAAGAAATGTCATTTTCTATTGTTTTTTGCAAGGGAAAGCGGATTACAACAAAACAACCGGATCCTGTACACACCCTCTTTTCTGAGGCTTCCTCACGAAAATGATGAAAATGTAGCTGCGGCCTAGGCGGCGCAGGGGGGGCGCGCACCAGGGGGCCCAACAATAATTATTCTTTAGAATAAATAATGTTCAACAACAACAACGATAACGACAACGACAACGACAACGACAACGACAACGACAACGACAACGACAACGACAACGACAACGACAACGACAACGACAACAACAACAACAACAACAACAACAACAACAACAACAACAACAACATTGCAACCACACCGAGGTGTGCCCCCTCTCACCCAGCCCCGGGTGAAAGCGTTCGCGCTCTCGGTGTGCTACCGACTCTCCCGGCCACGGGTCGCTTAAAATGGTGCAAACGTTCGCGCGCCTCGTGTGCCAACGACTCTCCCGGCCCCGGCAAGTGCGCCCTTGCAGTACGGCGGCGGCGCGCCTTGGTGTGCCAACGCCTCCCGGCCCCGGCAAACGCTGAGCAAAACCCAAGGAATCCCTGGAGAATCCCCAAGGAATCCCCAGGGAATCCTTCGGAATCCCGAGGGAATCCTCCGGAATCCCTAGGGAATCCTTCGGAATCCCGAGGGAATCCGTCGGAATCCCCAAGGAATCCGTAGGATTCCATCGTCGTCGTGGTGATCATCAACAAAACAATCGTCGTCGTGATCAGGGTCATCGATCACAATCTTAAAACACCCGAAAAGTTTCCTAGGGTTCTCTGAAGCTTCCCTAAGGGCTCCCAAGGATTCCCTAGGGATTCTTAACATTCCCTAGGGATTCCGAAGGATCCCCAATGGATTCTCAGGGATTCCCCAATGGGTTCCTAAGGACTCCCAAGGGTTTCCTAAGGATCCACCAGGGTCTTTTTGAGATTCCCAATGGTTCCTGTGGATTACCAAGGATTCCCCACGGATCCCTAAGGAACGATTCACTCCCAAGGGACCTCTAAGGATTCCTCCGGGATTCCTAAGATTCCCTAAGGATTCCCTCAGGATTCCGAAGATTCCGTAGGGACTACTCCTAAGGAATCCCGAGGGAGCCCTAACGATTCCCTTGCAATTCTCAAGGATCCCCTAAGGATTCCTAAGATTACCAATGGAGTCTCAATATTCCCAAAGGATTCCTAAGGATTCCCTGCGGATCCCTAAGGATTCCTAGTATTCCCGTGGAAATATGAAGAATGCCCTAAGGATTCCTTAGAAATCCCTAGGGCTCCTTAGGGATCCCTAAAATTCCCTTGGGGACCCCTAAGGATTCCCTAGAAATCCCCTAGGGAGTCCTACGATTCCCAAGGGAATCATATGGGAGTGCTACGATTCTCAAAGGCACCGCGAAAATCCCAGGAGCGCTTCCACGAGGGCCCTGAAGAGCCCTGATCAATGATTTCGGTGAGTCTTTGAAGACTCTGAGCGACCTCATTGTTTCGGGCTCTCGACGCGCCAAGACGGCACAGGCGGCCTCCTCAGATGGCCCCAAGACGGTCCAAGCGGCCCCCAAGAGGAACCTAAGACAGCCCAGGGGGAGCTCAAGACGGCCAGGAGGGCACCGCGAGTGGGAACGTGAACTGAGGTCTCGCGCCCGACGTGAACTCAGACCTCGCCCCCTCCAACCCGAGGCGACCCTCGAGGCCGCGAGTTCCCTCGACCGTCCAAGAGGCTTTCAAGAGGCCCCCCAAAAGACCCGAGAGGTTCCAGGAGGCCTCGAGCATGCCTTCAAGAGGCTCCCCAGGCGCTTCCAAAATGGCATACCCCTCAGGTACCACTTGAGCCATATGCGGGAGTACAAGAGAGCATCCCAAGAAGCATCCCCGTTCGCAGGCAATGCGCATCGAGCTCCAGGCGGTGTCGGTAGCAAGCTTGCTCCGAGCGCGCGAATTCGTTTTTTTTTTTCGAACTTCGTGTCGCTCGCGCCATTAGAATAAAAAAACAACAGCAATCCGACTGACTGCTTCAACGAGAAGTTTGCGCAAAGCTCACATGGAGCGCGCCAGGCTCGCTTGCGACGCGCACTACGTTTCGCGGCGCGGGGGGGGGATGGGGGGAGGAAAACAAAATGAGTTGAAAAGAAATTGCGACTAGAGGTTTGGCCATGGATGAAGGGGCCCCAGGACACACAAATACATACACACAAATAAAAATATTCCCCATATTTTCTGAGTTGGTGTCTTCCCCCCCACTTCCCATATTTTCCCATATTGTCCTGGGAGTCGACGATTAATTGTGTCTATGTATTTTTCCCCCTCCTGAGTTTAGCCATGGAGGGACATGACGCCAGTGGGAAGGGCGACCCCGCCGTGGAAAGAGCGAATGGCTGCGGCTGCGGGCGCGACTCTGCGAACCCCAGGGTGACATATGGCCTCAGCGACCTCAGATGTGGGGAACGACCCTGCGACCCCGGCTGGCTCTGCCTCCAGGAATAGAGTCGGGGCCTTGACCTAAGGAACCCAAAATAAGGAACGAGGCCCCTTTTGCTCCATAAGTTAAACTTCGATTTCCGATCGAAAACCTGAGGAAAACCTGAGGCAAGCTGCGAAACACTTAAGGAACACGGAGCCCCTCCCCAACGAAAAGGGTTCCTTCTTCAGGGCCCCGACTGTAGCGACTTCCGCCATCCAGCCATTGAGTAGACGCGGGGACGTCGCTCCCCCCTGTTTCCCTTCCTTTCCTCTGATTTCTCGTCGCCGATCTCTGCGGCGCGCCTGCGTTCACCGAGACGTGCCTGCGACCGCCAGACACGATGCCATTGTCTGCCATGTGAGACCGAAGTGGGCATGTGATGTGGCCACGGACAGTCATCGACGGTAATTAACGGTAATGGTTGGTAATATGCGGAAACTATTGAAATCTTCGACGCGCAAGGCCTCCGTGACACGTGACCTTCTGCTGGCTGGAGCCAGTGCTGGGCCCCCCAGCCAGCTCCATGCGAGAACCGCTGAACCTCCCTGCGTGCCCCTTGCCGCTGACACCACACGCTTTTTGTGGGTCGGCGGGGCGAGAGCGAACCTCTTCCGCCAAAAGCCAGGCGGGCTACGCACAGCTTTCATTAGGGAGACAGGGCACAGGCAGGCAGGGCCTCAGGCGGCCAGAGTGGGCGGGGCCCGGGGTGCAGGGCCGCTGACACCACACGCCAGAGACCACGACGGAGAAGGGCCATCCCCAGCACGCAGCCGAGAGAGCAGCGGCGGCACTCCTCGGGCGGAACCAGGGCAGGGCCAGCTGCAGCTCCCGCGGCTCCACGCCCCACCCAGCCGGCGCGGGCGCCTCTCGTGGATCTTCGGACGACGCCAAATCGTGCGCCAGGCCAGCTCGGTGCGCGCCGCGGCGTGCCGGCACGCGCGGAAGAGTGCATCGGACTGGTCTGGTGCACGGCAGGCGTCGTCCAAGCTCTGGCGAGGCGGCCAAGTGCGGTCGCCGTGCTGATGCTGCTGCCGCCGCCGCCGCCGCTGCTGCTGCCGCTGCTGCTGCTGCTGCCGCCGCCGCCGCCGCCGCTGCTGCTGCCGCTGCTGCTGCTGCTGCTGCTGATGCTCATCCGCCTCTGGGAGGACACCCTCCCCAGACATCCATCGATATAATTCGAATCAGATTTTAATCAGCATGTCCGCGGGCTCTCGTGAGCGGGCGCGCGAAGTTAGTGCCCCCAATGGGTCCGCCACTCAGAGTCCGCAAGCCAAGTGCCCCTACCAGGCGTGGAGGTTGGCGATTTGTGTTCAATCCTGGCGTTTGTTCCCGATCTCGGGCCCCGTGGAGAAAAAAAGGAACCATGACCAAGGCTGAACGCAGAAATGTCGTGCCGATCTTGGTCAACATTCATCTTCGTCAGCGTCCATTCGTGAATATCCTCGCGAATCGGCGACGGCGGACATGGACCATAACCAAGATCGGCGACGACGAGATCCCACGACCTCTTGGTTTGGACCCTATGTTTCTTCACTGGACCCCTGGACCCTCAAAAATGGACCTGGGGCAGAGGACTGGAAAAACCACATCGTCGGATGTCTGGGACGATGCGCACACACCGCTGGTGCCATACGCATACACCGATCCTGGCCCGGCCCATCCTGGGCCCAGGATCGGCCTGCCCAGGATCGGTGCAAGTGTGTAGTTGGCACCATCCGATATTCGTCGTCGTCGTTGTCGCGATCGCCGTCACCGTCGACGGAGTCGCCGCCGCCATCGCCATCGTCGCCGTCCGCCGCCGCCGCGGCTACTCACCGTCTCAGTCGCTCAAGAACCGAGGATCGAGCTTCGAGGATCGCGGCTTTGAGCACTTAGGCTTAGGTCGGGCATGTCCTCCTACAGGCTGATTTGGATGGAAAAGTCATAGAAAATCTAAAAATACACACACACACACACAAGAAAATCAAAAACAACCGACAAATCGTCCCCAGACTATTTTTGTTACTGTTTGGGAATATTCCTCCTGTGGAGGGACGTGCCCGACTTCAACTTGGGCCTTACCCGAAGGCCTCGGAGGGAGTCCGCACCTCCGCTGCGGGGGCCTCTGGGGGGGGACCACCGGGGACCCCTGGAGACAGAAAAAGCCACAAGGGATCCCAACGTCGCGCTTCGCGCTCCGCGAAGCGCGAAGCGCGAATAATTTCGCGCTCTCGCGCCGCCACCCCATAGGGAGAAAAGGAGGACGAGGAGAAGGGGGAGAAGGAACGAGGACCGCGAAGCGCGAAGCGCGAATGACTTCGCGCCCTCGTGGGCGCCCTTGCTAAGCCAGCACAGCTGCCAACGCCCTGGAGGGCGGCCTGGGGGCGGGCGACAGGCGTGCCTCCTCGCACGCTGGCCCTCCGAGCAGGGCCGGCGAGACTGCCGCGAGGAACCCCACGTCGGAAGCAGTTGACGCGATTGGCGGCAGCTCCTATGAAGGGGCCCTGGGACATACAAATAAATACACACAAATAAGAAGATTCCCCATATCTTGCCATAGTCTCGGGGTTTCTGTCTTCCCCCCCACTTCCCATAGTTTGCCATATTTTCTGGGGAATCGACGATTAATTGTGTCTGTGTGTTTCTTTTCCCTCCAGATCCTACTCGCGGCGGTGGACAAAACTCCCTGTAGCAAACCTCCCCTCAGTGAAAACGGCCTTAGACCGAAACTGTCGGACCTGGACCCGCCGCAAGAATGACGGCTGCGCGAGGCCCTCTCGCGAAGCGAAAGCGGCCAATTCCCTGATCGACGTGTCAGGGTAGGAGGTCGAGCAACCTCCGACACTCCAGGGTCCCTCAAGAGCTCGGCACCGCTGGGGGCTGCTGCTCGTCCTCGTCGTCGTCGCCGCCGCCGCCGTCGCTGTCGTCGCCCCCGTCGAGCCCGCGGGCGCCTGGCCCTCGCGCCGACCAACCAGAGCCCGGCCGACCTCCGAGGCCGTGCGTTCCCTGTCTGGCCGTCCTGTCTCGGCCACGGCCTCCGGTGGCGGCGCGAGCGAGGGGCTCGTGGGAGGAGGGCGGCCTTCCCAGAAGGCGAGCGTGCTTCTGCGAGGGCTCCTCCCTGGCCCTCCCCATGGTGTGGCAGGAGTTCCGCAGGTGTCCTCGCTGATCCACGGGCGGTCTCTCGAGGAGGCAATCCCTGCTCCAGGAAGCCTTCAGGGAGAGAGCCTCCGGTCCTCGTCGGGGCGCCTCAGAAACCCCGACGGCAGCGGCGACGAAGACGACGTTGACGACGGCGGCGGCGGCCACGGCAGCGCCGCAGAGCCACGGCGGCGGCGACCACCTTGGCGGCGGCGGCGGCGGCCGCGGCGACGGCCCTGCCGGGGTCGCCTTCGGCCCGTCGACCACCGACCGGAAGACGGCCGCCGCCCGGCAGGCAGCCCGCCTCCGCGGAGCGATGTGGGCAATCCGCGCCGCCAAACCGTGGCCCGTCGCCGCCAACGCTGGCTCCAGGTGGTCGCCGCCGCCGGCGCTTGGCGCC